AACAAGAATAAGAGAAACAAACACAGTATTCTAACAAGGATAAGAGAAACAAACACAGTATTCACTTTCATCTCTTTCTTGTTGCAGGCGTGCAACCCGATCCCATTTCAAATATCTTGTTGCAGGCGTGCAACCCGATCCCATTTCATATATCTCGTTGCAAGCGTGCAACCCGCTCCCATTGCATATATCTCGTTGCAGGCATGCAACCCGCTCCCATTTCATATATTTCCGTTGCAGGCGTGCAACCCGCTCCCATTTCATATATCTCGTTGCAGGCGTGCAACCCACTCCCATTTCATATATTTCCGTTGCAGGCGTGCAACCCGATCCCATTTCATATATCTCGTTGCGGGCAATGCAACCCGCTCCCATTTCATATATCTCGTTGCAGGCGTGCAACCCGCTCCCATTTCATATATCAACACCAATCATAAAAATAAAAAAGTCCCGGCAAGGGAACAATAATACAATAACAACATCCCGGCAAGGGAACAATAATATAACAACAACATCCCGACAAGGGAACAATAATATATCAACAACATCTCGGCAAGGGAACAAGAGTATAACAACAACGCCCCGGCAAGGGAGGCAATATCATAAACAATAACATCCCGGCAAGGGAACAAGAGTATAACAACAACGTCCCGGCAAGGGAGACAATATCATAAACAATAACATCCCGGCAAGGGAACCAACAATGATAATCATCATATTAGACATGGATAAATCATAACGGAGTCACAACAATTACAATACTAGACTCACGGGCATGCTTGACACCGACATATAGATACTCGTCACCATGCCTATACGTCGTACTCCACAATTAACACATAGCAAATACGACAAAACTCCTAATCCCTCAAGCTAAGGTTAGACCAAACACTTACCTCAAACTTCCACGGCCAACTCAAGCCTCAAACACCGCTTTTCCTTTAGAATTCGCCTCCAAATTACTTGAATCTAGTCCAAATTAATTTAACAACATCAATAAATGCTAAAGAATTCATACCCAATGCTTAATTATAGGTTTTCTATCATTTTTCCCAAAAAGTCAAAAATCGCCCCCGGGCCCACATGGTCAAAACCCGAGGTTCGAACCAAAACCCGTTACCCATTCACCCACGAACCCAAATATATAATTTGTTTCGAAATCGGACCTCAAATCGAGGTCCAAATCCACAAAATTTGAAAAACCTAGGTTTTACCCAAAACACCCAATTTCCCCCATGGAAACCTTTGATTTTGAGTTGAAATCATGAGAAAAGATGTTAATGACTAATGAAAACGAGTTAGAAATGACTTACAATCGATTTGGAAGAGTACTTGTCTTTGGAAAATCGCCCAAGAGGGTTTATGTTTTGAAAAAGTTTGAAAAATGAAAGATTTTCAGCTAAGTTATAAATTTGCAGGTTGCAGATGTCGCAATTGTGACAAGGGTTCGCAATTGCGAACCCTTCAGAAGACTGCTATCATCGCATTTGCGATTAATGTTCGCAATTGCAAACTCGCTTTTGCGATGGGATTGTCGCATTTGCGACACTGAAGGATTCCAGGCCACTTCGCAAATGCGCTGGGCCCTTCGCATTTGCGATATCGCTTTTGCGATGACTACGTCACATTTGCGACTCCAAGGCAGACCAGGTCTTTTTCGCATTTGCGATAAACGTTCGCATTTGCGATAAACGTTCGCATTTGCGAGCCTGCAAACCTGCAACACACCAGCAATTCCTAAGTGCAAATTTCACTCCGTGACCTATCTAAAACTCACCCGAGCCCTCGGGGTTCCAAAGCAAATATGCACGCAAGTCCAAAAATATCATACGGACTTACTCGTGCGATCAAATCATCACAATAACATCAATAACTATGAATTAAGCCTCAAATTCATGAAATCACTTAAGAACATCAAATTTTCCAATATTTCTCAAATAAGGTCCGATTGAAGTCATATGACCTTCGTTTCCTACCAAACTTTACAAGCTCGACTTAAATCACATATAAGACCTGTACCGGGCTCAGGAACCAAAATACGGGCCCGATACCATCAAATTTCAAACACATTTCATTTTCAAAAACTCATATATATTCCAGAAAATAATTTTCTTTAAAAATTCATTTCTCGGGATTGGGACCTCGGAATTCGATTCCGGGCATACGCCCATGTCCCATATTTTCCTACGAACCTTCCGGGACCGTCAAATCGCGGGTCCGGGTTCGTTTACCCAAAATGTTGACCGAAGTCAACTTAAATTCATTTTAAAAGAAAAATTTACCATTTTTCACAGATTTTCACATAATGGCTTTCCAGATATATGTCCGGACTGTGCACGCAAATTGAGGTAAGACAAATAGGAGGTTTTTAGGCCTCGGAACACAGAATTTATTTCTAAAACAAGTGATGGCCTTTTGGGCCATCACATCTAATGACCAAGGAAAAGCAAAGGATCAACATGTTACTTGTAATCAGTTGACTTGTTCGAATATGCTGGATGGAACAGTGGTCGTTGATGCTAGAAAGAGGGTGCAACAACTTCAATGTGAGGCATCCTCAAAAACCAGTCATTTCAACACGCCAAGTAGTGCAAAACAGAAGCAGAATTCAAAAGCTACAGGTGCTTCACTGATTATTTCAAAAGCTGGTTCTTTTAACCAGCAAATAGTACCAGATTCCACCAATAACAGGGGAGATCGAAGCAACGACAATTTGGCTAAGGTTTTGGGTGTTCGGCAAAATGCTATAAACAGCAGCCGAAGTATCAAAGGATCTTGCACTTTTTCAGGCAGACGAGCAAAAGGCTGGGGCAGTACCTAATGCTGCCTCACCAACGTTACACATATCCAATTTAAATCTGGCCAAAATGGTAAAGGATGCTCGGACAGGGATGCTCAAAAACACAACTCAAAATCAAGGCACCATTGGTTACGTTGAATACCTCCGTCAGTGAGGTCCCTTCCCAATCGATGAAATCTTATGGTGAGCGAGCAGCTAATTCTGGACAGCAGATGTCAACAGGCAACAACCAACAAGCAAATGCAATTTTTTCTCAAGAATGCAAAATCATTTTAGTAACAAATACAAGAAACAAATAGAATGCAGAAACCAAGAAACAATTAGTAACATGCTTGTAAAAGTTCTAGCTAGACATTATTCAAAAAGAAGAGCAAGTTAATATATATAAATAAAATTGTGATTACAGGAAAAGAAGTGAATTAAGAAAACAAGAGTAATTGACAAACTCTTTCAAGGAACAATATGAAATAACCTGACCTGAATATAACAAAAGTCAATTTATGTCCCAAATAAGGAGTTGGAGACCTAAGTCCAATATTGAAATTGTTGTCTAGCTACTAATTCGCCCGAGTTGTCGTCAGCATCACAAAGATATCTTAATCTTTTAACAACTTTTGTATTTAGTTCTTTAGGTTTGTGCAGGTAGCATTTGAATGGTAAGGTACAGAGTTTTGAACTACGCCTTCTATGCCTGTTTTTTAAGTCCCTGCATTTAAAATTTTAGCCGTAAGGCACAAAGTTTTCAACTAATTTTGTTGGGCAGAGAAAGAACAGATACCTGTTTTGTCAGATTTTTTTCAAACTCTTCCCGAATGAAAGCTCGAATCATTGAAGAATTTTGTCAAGCACCTACCAGGAAAATAAAAAATAAAGGTGTGTCTTACAATTTACTGATACAGTAAGGCAACACATATAAGGAATATCAGAAAGATTCCAAGACTACAACCTCTCTGTGATGTTGTAGAAACAATGTTCTTTTAATCTTATTTTGCCACTTTGCTTCTTCACTATGTTCTACGCTCCTTAGTTTTCCAACACATAACCGTATTACTAAAAGCTGGCAAATCAATTATTTTGCTCAGGTATCATCTTAACCACATACAACTAAAATCAACCAAATTATTATCAGAGAAAGCGAGTAGCAATTAGACATACAAATTTAGGCTTTGTTCAATTGTGGTTACCACAGAACAACTCAAATCAACCAAACTTATTATCAGAGAAGCGAGCAGCAATTAGAAATACAAATATAGGCCTTTTTCAAATAAATAACCAACAAAAAAATAAAGAGAAAGGACAACACACAGTGCAGGGTAAGCAGTTCTTTGGTCTTGAAAAAAATTAACTTGATACCAAAGAAAAAAAATCACCAATGACAATCCATCAATCTTTGGTCTTGTAGTGTTTCAAAACATCCTAAAACACATGAATTTACCAATCTAACATCCTAATTTTCTGCTACTGCACAAAATATCACTCCATTTATATTACACAGAAGTGGGCACCATTAATAATCACATTAGATAAGGTTCTACAAAGGAATTAAACATGAATCTATCTATATACACATTTGCATATTCAATTGTTCACAATAAAACCTTTACGGTGTGCAGGCTGAAGTAAGGATCAATGTTTCTGCAATGTTAACACTCAATAACATCATTTCCCAACAATGCTAAATTATCTATATGTCACGACCCAACCCCCGATCGTGACAAGTTGGTATCAGAGCCTAGGTTACTTGGTCTCGCGAATCATGAGCCGGTTTAGTAGAGTCTCGCGGATCGGTACGGAGACGTCTGTATTTATCCTCGAGAGGCTGCAGAACCTTTAGGAAATACTCCATATTCTTGAAACTCTTGTCGTGCGGTTTTGTTGAATTGTGAACTAAATCTTTGTTATTCTATTCTCTCACAGATGGTGAGAACACGAGCTACCGAACGTGACGGACGACCACCAGTGCCACCTACTGAGGCCGCCAGAGGCCGTGGACGCGGTCGTGATCGTGGCAGGGGTAGAGTAGCCGGGGCAGTACCTGCTAATCCTATGATTGCCCCAGCTCAGGATCAGGCTCCAGCGGTGGAGACTCCAGCAGCACCTACTCAGGCACCAGCTGTGCCTATTGTGATTCCGGGTCTTCAGGAGACTTTGGCACAGATCTTGACGGTCTGTACTGGATTGGCTCATGCAGTTTCAGCTACCACAGCAGCAGCAGCTACTTCAAAGGCAGGGGGAGGCAATCAGACCCCCGATGCCCGCACACCTGCGCAGGGAGTGCAGGGAGTGCAGGGGCTACAGACACCGGAGGCACCTCCAGCTCAGCAGGTTGCACCAGCTCAGGGTTTTGTGGTTCCAGCTATGCCAGACGATGAGCAGCGTCGTCTCGAGAGGTTTGGTAGACTCCAGCCTCCGACATTCGATGGTGCTGAGGGCGAGGATGCCCAGAGTTTTCTTGACAGATGCCAGCGTATGCTCCGTACGGCAGGAATCCTTGAGTCGAGTGGTGTGGCATTTACTACTTTTCAGTTCACGGGGGCTGCTCTTACTTGGTGGGAGGACTTTGAGAGGCGTAGGCCTGCCGGTGCAGCACCTCTGACTTGGCAGCAGTTTTCAGCTCTTTTTCCGGAGAAGTATATATCTCAGTCCCGCAGGGAAGAGTTGCGTAGGCAGTTTGAGTGGCTGACACAGGGAGATATGACAGTGACTCAGTACGAGATGAGGTTTTCCCAGCTGGCTCATCATGCTACTTGGATGGTTCCATCAGATCGTGAGAGGATCAGGAGATTTGTGGATGGTCTTAACTACCATCTCCGTATTCTGATGACTAGAGAAAGAGTACTGGGTGCTACATTTGAGGAGGTGGTAGACATTGCTCGTGAGATTGAGTCAGTTCGCCGTAGAGAGCGAGAGGAGAGTGAGGCTAAGAAGCCTCGTGGATCGGGCAGTTACAGTGGTGCTCCTTCAAGGGGTCAGTTCCAGCAGGGTAGAGGTCGCTCTTTCAGGCCTGCTCAGTCAGCTCGTCCAGAGTATCGTGGGGGATCTTCAGGCCGTGGTCATCATGGGCCCCAACAGGGTCAGACTTCACTCAGCGCCCTCCCAGCTCAAAGTTTATCTCATGCCCCATCAGTTCAGGGTTCTTCTGCGCCGGGTGCATCTGCTAGTCACTCCGGTGCGAGAGGTTCTCATCAGTCCCCATCTTCAGTACCGGGCAACTGCTATGAGTGCGGAGAGTTGGGTCATTTTAGGAGGCAGTGCCCTCGCCTTCGTGGCAGACAGCATCAGCAGAGGGGTCAGCCCTCGACTTCTACTCCAGTTACTTCATCACCCGCCCAGTCAGCTAAGGGTGGAGATCAGGCAGCCAGGGGTCGCCCCAGAGGTGGAGATCGATCAGGCGGTGGCCAGGCTTGTTTCTATGCGATGCCGGGCAGGACAGATGCCATTGCTTCAGACGCTGTCATTACAGGTATTATTTCAGTCTATCACAGAGACGCCTCAGTATTATTTGATCCCGGTTCTACCTATTCATATGTGTCTTCATATTTTGCTCATCAGTTGGCCCGAGGGTGTCTTGCCTTACCTGTTCATGTATCTACCCCGATGGGCGACACTATTGTTGTAGACCACGTATTCCGGTCATGTTTGGTGATTATTGGGGGTCTGGAGACCCGAGTTGATTTATTGCTATTGAGCATGGTAGACTTCAATATTATCCTATGCATGGACTGATCATCTCTGTGTCATGCTATTCTAGACTGTTATGCTAAGACAGTCACTTTGGCTATGCCGGGTGTACCGCGGATCGAGTGGCGTGGTATGACTGACTATATTCCTAGCAGAGTTATTTCTTTCTTGAAGGCCCAGCGTATGGTTGGGAAGGGTTGTCTTTCCTATTTGGCGTTTGTGAGAGATGTGGGAGCTGAGACTCCTAGCATTAAGTCGGTTCCCGTTGTGAGAGAGTTTCCCGATGTGTTTCCTGCAGACCTGCCGGGTATGCCGCCAGACAGGGATATTGATTCGGTATTGACCTGGTGCCGGGCACTCAGCCCATTTCTATTTCACCATATCGTATGGCACCAGCGGAGTTGAAAGAATTGAAGGAGCAGCTTCAGGAGCTCCTGGATAAGGGGTTTATTTGGCCTAGCGTGTCACCTTGGGGTGCACCAGTTCTGTTTGTGAAGAAGAAGGATGGCACAATGAGAATGTGCATCGACTATAGGCAATTGAACAAGGTAACAATTACGAAGAAGTATCCCCTACCTCGCATTGATGATTTGTTTGACCAGCTTCAGGGAGCGAGGGTGTTCTCCAAAATTGATCTCCGTTCGGGTTACCACCAGTTGAAAATCAGGGATTCAGATATTCATAAGACTGCTTTCAGGACTAGATACAGTCACTATGAATTTCTTGTCATGTCTTTCGGGCTGACCAATGTCCCAGCAGCTTTCATGCACCTGATGAACAGTGTGTTCCGGCCTCACCTGGATTCATTTGTCATAGTGTTCATTGATGACATACTGGTATACTTGCGCAGTCAGGAGGAGCACGCGCAGCATTTGAGGGTTGTATTGCAGAGATTAAGGGAGGAGAGGCTTTATGCAAAGTTCTCCAAATGTGAGTTCTGGCTCGGTTCGGTGGCTTTCTTGGGACATGTGGTGTCCAGTGAGGGTATTCAGGTAGACCCAAAGAAGATAGAGGCGGTGCAGAGTTGGCCTAGACCGACCTCAGCCACAGAGATTCGCAGCTTCCGAGGGTTGGCAGGTTATTATCGCCTGTTTGTTCAGGGATTTTCCTCTATTGCATCGCCCTTGACTAAGTTGACTCAGAAGGGGGTCTCATTTGTATGGTCGGACGAGTGTGAGGAGAGCTTTCAGAAGCTCAAGACAACGTTGACCACAGCCCCAGTGTTAGTTTTGCCATCAGCTTCAGGCTCTTATACGGTATATTGCGATGCTTCGAGAGTTGGGATTGGTTGTGTTTTGATGCAGGAGGGTAAAGTTATTGCGTATGCTTCTCGTCAGTTGAAGCCCCATGAGCAGAACTACCCCGTTCATGATTTGGAGCTAGCAGCTATAGTTCATGCACTGAAGATTTGGAGGCATTACTTGTATGGCGTATCCTGTGAGGTATTCACGGATCATCGCAGTCTTCAGCACTTGTTCAAGCAAAAGGATCTTAATTTGAGGCAGCGTAGATGGTTGGAGTTACTTAAGGATTATGACATTACTATTCTGTATCACCCGGGGAAGGCCAATGTAGTGGCCGATGCTTTGAGCCGGAAGTCGGTGAGTATGGGAAGTTTGGCATACATTCCAGTTGAGGAGAGGCCATTTGCAGTTGATGTTCAGGCCTTGGCCAACCGATTTGTGAGATTAGATATTTCAGAGCCCAGTCGAGTGTTGGCTTGTGTGGTTTCTCGGTCTTCCTTGTATGACCGCATCAGGGAGTGTCAGTATGATGATCCGCATTTGCTTGTCCTTAAGGACAGGGTTCAGCATGATGATGCCAGAGATGTGACCATTGGAGATAATGGTGTGTTGAGGATGCAGGGCCGGATTTGCGTGCCCAACGTGGATGGGCTTCGGGAGTTGATATTGGAGGAGGCCCATAGCTCGCGGTATTCCATTCATCCGGGTGCCGCGAAGATGTATCAGGATCTCAGACAGCACTATTGGTGGCGGAGGATGAAGACAGATATTATGGAGTATGTGGCCCGGTGTCTTAATTGTCAGTAAGTGAAATATGAGCATCAGAGACCGGGTGGCTTACATCAGTAGATGGTTATTCCTGAGTGGAAGTGGGAGAGGATCACTATGGATTTTGTTACCGGACTCCCACGAACTCTGAAGAAATTTGATGCTATTTGGGTGATTGTAGACAGGCTGACCAAGTCCGCGCACTTCATTCCGGTTTGTACTACTTATTCAGAGCGGCTGGCAGAGATCTATATTCGGGAGATAGTTCGATTGCATGGTGTCCCAGTTTCCATCATATCAGATCGGGGCACTCAGTTCACCTCTCAGTTTTGGCAGGCGGTTCAGCGAGAGTTGGGTACTCAGGTGCAGTTGAGCACAACTTTTCACTCTCAGACGGACGGGCAGTCCGAGCGCACCATTCAGATATTGGAAGATATGTTACGTGCCTGTGTATTGATTTTGGAGGGTCATGGGATCGGTTTCTACAGCTTGCAGAGTTTGCCTACAACAATAGATATCAGTCCAGCATTCAGATGGCACCGTATGAGGCCTTATATGGGAGGCGGTGTAGATCTCCAGTGGGTTGGTTCAAGCCCGGTGAGGCTAGATTGTTGGGGACAGATTTGGTTCAGGATGCATTGGAGAAGGTGAAGGTGATTCAGGAGAGACTCTGTACAGCACAGTCGAGACAGAAGAGCTATGCAGACAGGAAGGTTCGAGATGTATCTTTTATGATCGGTGAGAAGGTCTTGCTGGAGGTTTCACCCACAAAGGGTGTTATGAGATTTGGGAAGAAAGGGAAGCTGAGTCCGCGGTTCACTGGACCTTTTGAGGTACTCAGGAGGATCTGGGAGGTGGCTTATGAGCTTGCCTTGCCACCTAGCTTGTCGAGCGTGCATCCATTTTTTCACGTGTCTATGCTCCGGAAGTACGTTGGGGACCCGTCCCATGTTTTAGATTTCAGCACAGTTCAGCTGGAGGGTGACTTGACGTACGAGGTAGAGCCAGCAGCCATTTTGGATCGTCAGGTTCGGAAGTTGAGATCAAAGGATGTGGTATCAGTGAAAGTGCAGTGGAGAGGTCGCCCCGTGGAGGAGGCTACCTGGGAGACCGAGCGGGAGATGCGGAGCAGATACCCTCACCTATTTGAGGCATCAGGTATGTTTCTTGACCCGCTCGAGGCCAAGCGTTTGTTTAAGTAGGGGAGGATGTGACGACCCGACCCGTCGTCACGTGAGTTACCGCCCCGTTTTCCCCATTTTCAATTTCCTTATGTTTCAGTATCAGTATTAGATGTGTTGGAGTTGATTTAGATTGGGTTTGATAAGAAATGAGACACTTAGTCTCTTTTAAGAAGGCTTAAGTTGGAAAAGTCAACCGGACGTTGACTTTTGTGTTAGAGGGCTCGGATATGAATTCTGATGATTTGGTTAGCTTCGGGGGATGATTTGTGACTTAGGAGTGTAATCAAAAGTGATTTTGGAGGTCCGGAGTAGAATTAGGCTTGAATTGGCAAAGTTAGGATTTTGGCGAATTCCGGTCGACAGGTGAGATTTTGATCCGGGGGTCAGAATGGAATTCCGAGAGTTGCAGTAGCTTCGTTAGGTGATTTGGGATGTGTGTGCAAAATTTCAGGTCATTCGGAGGTGTTTTGGTTTGGGTTTTTGATAGAATGCGTGTTTCGGAAGTTTTGGAAGAACTTAGGCTTGAATTCGATGAGAAACGATGGTTTTAGTGTTGTTTGAGGTGTTTTGATGATTGGAGCAAGTTTGAATAAGGTATTGGATCATGTTTGTATTTTTGGTTGAGGTCCCGGGGACCTCGGGGTAATTTCGGATGGCTAACGGGATGAAATTTGGAGTTTAAGGACTGCTGAGTGGTCTGGTATCTGGTATTTTCGCTTCTGCGGAAATGGACCGCAGAAGCGGTTCCGCAGAAGCGAATGAGGAGTCGCAGAAGCGAGGTTGGGCATTTTGGAGATTTGCGCAGGAGCGGAATATTTTCCGCATAAGCGGCTTCCGCAGAAGCGATTAGTGACCGCAAAAGCGGTCCAAGGCAATAAGTGAGATTCCGCAGAAGCGGAAAAATGATCGCAGATGCGGTAGTCGCAGAAGCGACAAAGGACCGCAGAAGCGGAAACAACTGATCAGAAGTGGGTTTTTAATCCCTTAGCGAAATTTTTCAGAACACATATTTTAACTTCGGAATTGGGGTGTTCTTGAGCGATTTTGAAGAGGAAATTCAAGGACTTCGATCAGGTAAGCATTCTTGGACTTAGAACACAATTTTATCATGCAAATACATGAAATTACACTGAAAACTCAAGGAATTAAGGTCAAAAATGGTGGTTTAGGGCTTGAAACCTAAGAGAACAAAAATGGGAATTTGAGGGGTCATTTGGACTCCGATTTTGGTGTTCTTTATATGCATGGACTCGTGGCGAGATAAGGAATCCGGTGATGTAAAATTTATAATTTTTCGAGAAGTGGGCCCGGGGCTCGGGTTTTGCCAACTTCGTGATTTTCGATGTTTTTCGAGTCTTTTCGATTGGGTTATATTCCCTTAGCATATTGTGATGTATTCGTTGTGGTTTTGGTCAGATTCGACGCACGAAAAGGTGAATTCGAAAGGCAAGGGCATAGCAAGCTAGGACTTTGGCCGGCTTGAGGTTAGTAATAAATGTAAATGCTGTGTTGAGGGTTTGAAACCCCGAATTTGCACATCGTAGTGCTATGTGAGGTGACTTGCACGCCGGATAACGGGTGTGGGGTAGAGCACCGTCGGGGATTGTGACTTGGTCCGTCCCGCTTAATAAAATTACTACCTAATTGATTGTAGTTTTGTGATATCCTTATAAAAATGGATTAATTGTCATAATTGGGCTTCGTGTCAATTACTTGAATCCTTTAGGAATTATTTTTACTGGTTTCTTACCATATTTCTAGATATTGAACTCAGTCTTGGTATTTAACACTGTTTTTGTGAACTCAGTCCTGATAATAATATGGCTTATTATTGCGCTTGGGCCGTAAGGGGCCCCTCCCGGAGTCTGCACACCCCCAGTGAGCGCCGTCGACGTTAAATAAATGGAGCGGGCTGCACGGCCGCAGCGGGGTACTGGAGAGTACCGATTTATGTGTTGCATTGCATATTTTAATTGTCATTTATTCTTTATCTGTTGTGGTATTATTATAATTGTCCTCGCTGTTTTACTGTATTTATAGCTTTACCTTGTGTTATTTAGGATTTCTTATCCTCAAACTTTATTTATATTTATTACTTTCTGGGTTGGAAGTACTCACAATACTCCCTGCACCTTGTGTGCAGATTCAGGTACACCACAGGGTGAGTGAGGACTTGTTGGCTGAGCATCGTTTATCCGGGAGTATCGAGGTAGCTGCATGGCGTTCGCAGCCTTGATCTCTCCCATCTATCTTTATCCTTTTATTCGTATTTTCTTTCCTAGACAGACTTGTGATTAGGTGAATATTTTGTATTAGAGGCTCATGTTCGTGACACCAGATTCTGTGGGTTGATTAGTATTTTGTTTTTATTTTGGGGTTTTCGAATGTTAGAGATTATTTCAGAAGTTCCGCATTAAATTGGTATTTTAGTAGTGAATATTTATTTATCTATCTAGATTAATTAGCTAAGGTTGTCACGACCCAATCCCGATCGTGATGGCGCCCAACACACTGCTAGGCAAGCCCGACCATTTAGACAACCTGACCTATTAATCACAGAGGATAAATAAATATTCACAACTAAGATACCAAATTAAATGCGGAATTTCTGAAATAATTTCTAACATTCGAATCTATCTATATACACATTTGCATATTCAATTGTTCACAATAAAACCTTTACGGTGTGCAGGCTGAAGTAAGGATCAATGTTTCTGCAATGTTAACACTCAATAACATCATTTCCCAACAATGCTAAATTATCTATATTTCTTCTATCACATGATAACAACGAGTGGGAGTTTTAGAAGTATGGTCACTAGAATTTACTGTTGGTGTACAGTGGGTTTTAGAAGTATGGTCTGTTAACAGTGAAAACAGTGAATGGGGTTTTAGAAGTCCATGTCCTCTCTCTGCTATCATCGACATTGAAAAGAATGATTATAACATCTACTTATATTCCTTCGGTTTTCGTTCTGCAAATATGAAAATCATGGACTCAAACGTTGTTTTTGTTGTCATCATTCTAGGTTGCCTCGAAAGAAATGAAATGTATTGGAGGTTCTATATCTTAAAAAGCAAAATTTCTTCTATCGTGAATCCTAAATTGAACAAAATACTAATTTATAACAGTGAAAACCTTAGGAATCAACTGAATTGAAATCAAAGTAAAATTTAACTTCAATTAAGCACATTTCACACTCAAAGAGAGAGAGACCGAGCACCAATTGGAGAGGGAGGACAGCAAAGTGGTGGTAGCGGAGAGTTTGTGCCATCCTTATTTTGCAATTTGGGGCTTAGGGTTCTTTGAATAGGGTGAAAGAAAAGAACTGAAAACTTAGTGGAGAGTGCTGGCGCTTTTTTATTTTGGATATGCCCGCCAAATTCTTAGTACCCATTGACGACCGGACATCTTTAATATTAATGAGTCAGATACTATTCTTTTGTAATTGTAGAATTAAAAAAAGCATTATTAACGACCGGAAATATTTTTGGTCGCTAAAAATGTACTTATAACGACGGGATTCACATCCCTTCGTTAAAAAATGGTCGTTAAAAGCCAAGTTTCTTGAGTGAGTGTTTTCTTATGGAATTTAATCCCCTCCTAGTACCCAATGTTATGGATTATTTCCTCCCAGGATAGAACGAATTACACACTGGTGTAGTGGTACTTCAAACCCAAGTGTTTCAGCGAACACAAAGTTCGATACCAAAATCACACTTACTGTTGCTTTCTTTGAAGTTAGTATGCAGAAGAAAGAAGGAGAACTCAGAAAATCGTATGGAAAATCTGAGAGAATGGACTTATCTTTATAGTCAATGTTGGGTTGAAAACTGAAGAGGTGCAACTCTTCAGAATGGATGTTTCTGCAAAATGGTCATAGCATAAATGTCATAACATAAATGTCTAATTTATGCAATAATAAACCTGGAATTGAAGAGGGAGGTTACCCATCAAAAACCTCTTCCTCTTACAATATGGGACAATGTCCCTTTGTCAAGGGGAAGACTTAAAATTTTCATTTCCCTCCATTTCCTATTCACGCTCTTTTAAGCCATATTAATGCTTAAAAACCGACATTAATATTCTAAGAAAACTTATAAGTAGAAAAAAATGACATTATTTGACACATATTATCTCCTGGCGTGTTGGTTATGTGCTTGATTTTATTTTTGTTTTAAGGGTGAGAGGTTCGAACCTCATCTAATATGTTTGGCAAATGTTTGAGAGAGCATATGTAGTTAAAAAAACATGATCAAACAGAATTGAATTGAGGACCTCTTCTAACTTAAGACTCAACAATACTAATAGACTAAAGTTATTTCTTGTCTAAAAGCATGATAATTAAAATTAGTATTTATTTTTGTTTTTCTAAAATTTTGACACTGCTTATAGAAATTCTTGCAACGCCCGTGCTTGCCAGTTGGCTTTTCTATCTTAGAGACTAGAGAGATATGAATGCAATTTGGACGAGGAATATGTATGATGTTTCAGGGTGATATAGCTTTTTAAACAGCTACTCTTTGTATTTTTCCTCGTAAGGAATATGTATGATGGTCAGGTTGATGTACTGATTTTCTTGGAAAGCTTTAGATTTTTTGCAAAGGAATATACAAAGAAATTTGACTCGATCTCCCACTTGGTTTCACTTCAAATCAGAGGCGGACCTACACTTAGGGTAAGGGAATCATTGGCCCTGTAATTTTGAAAAAATAAATGGTATAAATCTTAAATAACATATATATATATATATATGTATGTATGTATGTTTTGATTGTCATCGTAAGACTCCAAATTTAGGCAATTGCATTGGTTGATTTGGGGGCGCACAATTTGGATTTTAGTGAGTTGTCTGGGTTCTATTCCTACTCTAATATTTGCTCAAATTTTTATTTGATATTGATGTCTCCGCCACTGTCCGCCTCTGCTTCGAATGATCGCAAAGTCATTATTCTTCATTTTCCTATATATGTATTTCATTTCAAAAAGGGGAAATGAAAGAAAAGGAAAACACTAAATAACGGCCCATTTTTTACCTAAATATTTTGACCGGAAAAAAGTAGTCTAAAATTTCCAACAAAATCAGTCGAAATGGCCTAAAATATATTTTTCAATTTCTATTAATGTTTACGGCAGATATTCGTCACAAGATTTGGCAAAACATACCGCAAAGGCATTAGCGTCCGAATCAGTCGGAAAGAAGAAGGACCAAGTGCAAACCCCATGGAAAGGTGAAAAAAAGCTACCTTTTACCAAAATATTTTATTAAAAAAAAGATAAGAAAAGGTTCAAAGGAACTATTTGTCAGAGTAAAAAACAATTAATTAATCCTTAATTGAGATAGCCTACTGCTTGGATTTGGGTTGATTGTCATTATGAAAACCTTCATTTTTGTTATGTTCTGAATTGACCAAAAATCAGGGAAGAGATGAAGGAAATGACGCATATAAAACGTCATGTTTACTGGTGAAGTGATTAATTATTTAAACTTCTTCAGATTTCATGATCCAACACTTGCTGAATTTTGTGAAATGATATAATGAGGAAAGTTATTATAGTAATAATTAAATTTTACTTACATGCTGCTATATCTAGAACATCTTTTCCAGCTATTGTTCTTAAAAAATAATCACAAATAGAGTTGATGCATAACCAACTCTTTTATTTATTTATTTTGAATGAATTTCAAGCAGTGGTAATTATAAAATTTGGATTCAAAATGGTGACATGCATAGCAAAGGGAAGCCGTGTGAAGCAAAGGTTTGTAGGAGTGATTTTACAACAAATGTTTTTCTTCACTATACCCCAAAAAAAAACAAAAGAACAGACACTCCCTCCGTCTAACTTTACTTGTCCGTTATACTAAAATTAGATATTCATTTGTATTTGTCTAGTTTGGAAAATCAATAGATAATTTATCATTTTATAACTATTTTACTTTTATTATTTTCTAATATTTTGGATTTATAATAGTCGAAGTTAATTTTTCAATAATAATAATATTTAGGGGATATAATTAATTATCTTGTTATTTATTGTTCCTCAAGAGATATTTCAAATCAGTAATGGATAAATAAATATATATTAAGTATGCTTTCCTTTTACTCTAAAATTTTATTTACCAAAATTGAGTATTACTTGTTAAGATATCCCATTAAGGAATGTGATGATATGATTAAAATTTCTGATTTGAGACTTGGGAATGAACAACCTTTCCATAAAGAACACTTCATCCCTTTAGTAGTCCTAGTTGGCGAAAAACTAAGAAGAATTAAACCAAATATTCGCCCACACCCAAGTATTTAAATTAAAAATAGCCGATGGAGGTATAATATATGCATAATTTACATACTATATGTGTATAATTAATGTATAATTTATATATATGGCTAGAATAGTAAATAATGAATATGGTCGGTTATTTCTGTAAAGATCCTAAAAACTAAAGTTAAAATAGTATAAGCTAGCCAGTTTTTGGACCGGTAATTAAAGAATAATCAGAGTTTACGAAGTTCTTAAAAAATAGTCATTATTTTATGCGCCGATAAAATCTGAAAAAGTAAAATACCCTTAGCAAACATGAAACTCAGCACATTGTATTGGAGATCAAACTTCAAAGACACCTTGTATGCAAATTCCAACATTCATGCTGGAGTTTAAATTGTAAAAGTTTAAACTCCATAATATACTGGAATTCACATAAAGGTATTTATTTTTCTGGATACTTTTGTACAATTTTATTACCGCATAAAAAAGTGGCTAAAATTTGATTAATTTTACACAGTGGCTAATTTTCAAATAATAGTTGTAAATTGGGTTAGTTTTGAATTTATCCCAAAACTAAAATTGTTTGAACTTTCAAAATATGAAATGATTAAAATATATAATCTTTTAGTAAGAGTGTATATATATATATATATATATATATATATATATATATATATATATATATATATATATATATATATGGTCTGGCTTCGAGAATTGGTTAAATTAAACTTTAGAGTCTGTTTGGAAAGCCATCTTGTAATTGGAATTGGTGTAATCACTAGGGTAGTAATTACACAGTCTAGTAATTACGATAGCCTTTTTGTTTGTCATAGTGTAATTACAGTATAATTACAAGTTTACTGTTTGGTTGCACAAGTGTAATTACACAATTAGATTAAATTTTAAATTAAATAATTATCAAAACTAAAAATTAATATAATAAATATATACCTATAAGATTTTATAAGTATAAATGATAATATATTTGGTATTTAAGATGTATATTTTTTCGTGAATATACATTAATTAATAATCATATATTTATAACTAATATTGTTAAAATAATATATATATATATATATATATATGTATATATATATTTTTAAATTAATAATATTTAGTTTAGATACTTACAAAAACTAAATAAAATATACGTTTTGTAAGAACATCATGGAATTCATGTTTGATAAAATAAATTAATATTTATAAATATAGTGTCATAACATTATTTAAATGTTTGACAAAATTAATCTACCAATTCTAACTAGAAAATGAATAACATGCAATGTGAGTCAATACTACAAAACAAGTAAATTGGAACCATGAATATAACATAATTTCAAAAATTCAAAAAAATAAAATAGTTTAACTTATGTCAAATTTCAACATAATAATAGTAAGTCTCACTGCAACTTAAGATAGGAAACATGATAAGTTTATAACCACATTTAACAACGAAGTTCCACTTTAATTGCATCACTCATTATATGCCAAGTTTATTAATGACTCATTATTTCTAATTTTAGGAGGTGTAGTTTCAAAAAATAGAATAATAAAATAAATAAAAAATAAAATATAACCAATTACATGGAATCACAAGAAGTAAAGATAGAGAAATAAAAGATAAATAATGTACAAAGAAAATATATTTTAAAATTTCAAAAGAAATTAAAAAGTAAAAATAAAATTAAAAAATTAAAATAATAAAAATAAAAAGTTATAAAGAAAATAAATTAAAATAAAAACAAAAAGGAAAGAAACTAAAAAGTAACCTTGTAATTACACAGTGTAATTACCACCCATTCTCACCTCCCTTGAGAATTGGAGAGTGTAATTACACCCCTCCAATTATCCCCAATTTCATGCTGACCAAGTAATTACTTGACAAAACAAACATACCAAAACTTTGTAATTAAACCCAAATCCAATTTCAAGATGGCTTTCCAAACATGCTGTTAGAGAAGAGTAGCAAACGAATTCAATGGTCTATACAATAATGAAATTTTGGAGAAGGATTAGAACAAAGAACAAAACAAAAGAAACCCAAAAAGAAAAAAGAAAGTTTACAGCCGTAAAACCCCTTTAAAAACCTTTACATTTCTTCAACTGTCC